AAGTGTTGGGTCTCAGGCAAAATTCAGGGTAAATTGGCAACCTTGAGACATGACGTGGAGACAAGAGTCTGACCAGAAAACAGAAGACCTGCTTCTAGGCCTGTTTCTATCATTTGTTAGCTGTGTGGTAATGGGCAAGCCATTTCATCCCTGTGGGCGTGACTTTAAAGTAGGCAAATTAAGAATAATAATTAAGAAAAATAATCTCTATTACTTGCTCCATGGGAGTGGGGCTGAAACAAAAAGTGACAGTGACTTGGAAATGTTTCACGTTTAGGGGCCCGATGCACGAAAATTCGTGCAAGAATAGGTCTTCCTTCTGCTGGCTGCCGGCACCAGCTTCCGGCTTCCCTCCTCTGGCTGCCAGCAGGCACCTGGGACCTTGGCCCGGGCTGCTTCCTTCTGGCCACTAGCAGGAACCTGGGACCCAGCTGGCTTCCCTTGGGCCACCCGCAGGCACCCGGACCCAGGCTGGCTTCCCTCTGGCCCGGCTTCGTCAGGAAGGACGTCCGGAATGACGTCCAGTTTAATTAGCATATTACCCTTTTATTATTATAGATATTATGGCTAGAGCACTGGACTAGAAATTAGAAGGTCTGAGTACTGACCCCCAGTGTTTATATGATGCCTGCTTTCTCATCTGCAATATTGCAACACCCCCTCCATTCACATTAGGAAAGGGCTTTTGGGAAAGCACCACTTCATACTTTTTTCTTTCCCAACATTGTATTATAAAACATTGCACACAAGTTGAAAGAATTGTGGCATGAATGCCCTTATATCCACCATCCAGATACTCTAAATGTAGCCATCACACTCTTCCTTTAATCCATTTTGTATTTTGATACATTTGTTGCAGACCTCAGTATTCTTCATCTCTAAACATTTCACTATGCCTCTGAACTAGAGTTTAATATCTTCTGTTCCTTTATTGAGCTATTTATATACAATGAAATGCAAAAGTCTGAAACGTGCCAATTCTGAATTTTGACAAATGCACTTATATAACCTGAACCCCCATCTAGAGGTGATCACCTCCCTGCAAGGTCCCTCATGCTCCTTCCCAGTCGTTTCCTACCCACAGTTCTGAATTTTCCTGTCTAGTTTTGCCTGTCCTAGCACTTCGCCTAAATACAGCCGTACAGCATGTCATTTTTATGTGGCTTCTTTTGTGGAACACACTTTAGGTTGAGCTATGCTTTTTGTGTAAACCAGCAGGTTGCTCTTTACTGCTGAGTAATATTCCGTGAGGATACACTCTCCCGCGGATGGACACCTGGGCTGGCTCAGGGTCTATTATCAGTGAAGTTGCTACGAACGTACTTGTACAAACCTTGTTGTGGACATAATGCTTTCATTTCCTCTGGGATTTGTAAATACTTAGGAGTGGATTTGCAGGGTCACAGGCATTGCTTTTACTAAACATATTTCGTTTGGAGTTTTGTATAAAAACAACAAAAGGGCATCATTTAAAAAAAAATCTATGAGTCCCCTCGGGGAAATGATTTAAAAAACACAGCACGATAGGTGTGAAAACACCAGCGTTTTAGTGTATGTATAGAAAAAAGGGAGCGACTAGCCATAATACGTTGAAAAGGGCAGGGAGGTTCTGAAGGAACCATTGTGATTTAGGAGAGTCTAGGTGAAATGCAGGAGAATGTTTATTATGTTATTAGCTATATATTTTTGTTAATGTGTCACATTGGGTCTAGTCCACTTATGCCAACGATACAAAGTTTCCTCTTTTAAGTAAACGCCTGTCTTTTTAAGAACTCGGATGTATAAACAAAAATCCTGACTACATAGCGGCCAAGGTGGTGCAAGGGGATCGCAGAATTGCAGACGTTGGGGGGGGGGGGCGCTGACTGACCGGAAACGGAGGCCAAGGTGTTCTCTCCGGTCGCCTCCACCTCTGTCCCTCGTGTTCCCGGCCCTGGGTCCTCGCAAGGGACTTAGGAGACGGGGGCCGAGTTCCACAACCACGAGCTGGGTGACCTTGGGCACCCACAGCGCTCTCTGGGGCTTCGTTAAGCCCATTAAGTGGGAGAGAGAGGCCCTGCCCCGCGGCTCTGGGCCCCTCGCATCTGTTGATTCGGGGCAGAAGCCCAGCCAGACGGCCCGTTCCATCCCGGGACGCCAGCGGCCCCGCGCCCGTGCCCTTCACCTCACCTTGCTCCCCAGCCGC